AGGGTTCACGTCTCGGGGCACTGTGGCGTTGCCTCAGAGCCGCGGGCCAGCACCCGGTGTAGGTACAAGCTGCCCCGGCCAGCTGCCTCTCCAGAGGTCAGAGTCTCCTCCATCCCCTGTTAGTAGCTGCACATGGAAGGTGCCACACTCTTAACGTTTTCTTCCTGGCATTAAAACCACTGCTGATTCCTGTTCCAAGTGCATCTAGGTTTTGGCTAAATGAGCCAAAACTGAGCTTCCTTTGCTGCGGGAAAGGAGCTGGAGTCCTGTAGGGACCACGTTGATACGAAGCATTTTGATAAATTTGGAACAAATCTTCTTTTAAATAAGGTGATCCTGGTGCCAAAAGCTTAACAGTAGGGGACTTGGAAAACATGGAAAGATGTTTGGGTCCTCCTAGGTTTCGTACAGCGAAAATGAAAGACAATGTGGTGGTGTTGGCATCTTAAAAACAAAAGAAGGGTTTCTCGCAGAACTGCGGCTCATACACAGGTGACGAGTGTGTTCGAGCCATGTTTGCAGAGCACACAGGATGAATTTTTGCTATGATTCCTTCCTTTCTGCTCATTAGGGATGTGGCTATTGTCAAAGTGGCTGGTAGATTTAATTGTTTTTCCTGGAATCTCATTAGTTCACTTGTTAAAAATGTAGATAGAAATTAACTAAAGCTGATTAAAGCCCTGGTGGGATATGAGAGCACAGAGTGCTGTCAGCTGAAGAGCAGGGAAGTACGTGGATCTTTGAACTTCATTTGGGGAAGGTGTTTGGCTTTTTTTGGGGGTGCGTGCCATGTCATAGGGGAAGGGCAAAAATGTTCATGTTACGTCGCAGTTGACATCTCAGCAGAAAGTCTCTTGCCTTGCTGTATTTTTGCTGTGGGCTGCCTAGAGACCTCTGGGCAAAGGGTGGCTGATATTGATCTGTGTAAATTCCTTTCCCTCCCCTTATTGTGACAGGTATGGACATTTTTCTGGCATTAACCGTAAAGTTCAGTTGACCTATCTGCCTCATGGACATCCAAAAGCTGCAAGTGAAGATGAAGGTAAAGAAACCTAACGTTGCTGCCATGATCTTCAAGCCTGGAGTTCAAGAGTGCATTCAGCTTTCCTGCCTCTGTAGAACATGCAAGCAAAGGTGGTGACCCGTCCCTTGCCTCTGCTCACACCGTGTGAAGGGTTGGAGTGATGCATAATGCGGTGTACCAGTGTACCCCGCGTTGTGCCATGGGGCTTTTGCTTCCAATTTCACAAATGTCAGCCTGTATCTATAGCAACTCTTAATTGCTGGCTTGGTTCCTGGGGATTTTGGGTCAGGCTTGTGTCATGAATGCTCTGCAGGGTGCTGATGGCAGCCTCTTCTTCCTCCCCTCCTCTGCCCCTGCAAGCTCATCTTTGAACTCTGGTGTAGTGAGCACCCATTTGTCTCCTAGATGCTCGACGAGAGCCTTCCCCATCCCTTCTCCTGGTGCTCAAGTGGGGCGGAGAGCTGACGCCCGCTGGAAGGGTCCAGGCAGAGGAGCTGGGCCGAGCCTTTCGCTGTATGTACCCTGGTGGCCAAGGTAAGTTTTGCCCGTAAGTTTTGCCTGTGTGTTGCCAGTTCATGAGCACCAGCCTGAGGCAGGGTCGGGTGTCTGTAGGCTGTCCACAGTGTGTGTGACTTAGCCATTGCTGGTTTTGTTCTTCTGAGTTGACCTGATAAGGATAAATAATTCAAGTGGGTTTTGCTGGCTAGAGATGTCTGCTGCAGGGGTTAGGCTTTGGCGTGTCTTGGAGCACAACAGCGTTCTTTCAGCTGATATGTCAGTATTCAAAACAGAGGAGCCATTCTAATAAGATGCGTTCTGATGCAGCAAATACGATTCAAAATTCGTGTATGATTACAAGGAATTTAGATCATGTAGAGAGCAGAAGAAATCTATCTTGGAACACAGCTAATTCTGCCTCAAAATGAGAGAATGGGAAAACTTCTCTGTATTTTCTCCATCACAGTTCTGAGGCTCTGAAAAGCATTTGGTACACACAGATCAACAAGAGTCCAAAGTGGGAGTGGGAAGAGGCTGAGATTGATCCAAGTAAAGAGTCAGAATTAATATACTGTTACTGTATTGATCTGATGAGACCAGTATTGGATACTGCTTTTGCATGTTTAATTAATTCAAGTTAATTCATTAAATTTTAAATTAATTTAGCTTATTTAAATGGAATTGGAGAAGATCTCCTTCTGGAATGATCCGGGTTTTTCTCCAAATTGTGAGCTCAGAGCTGGGAGCAGTTTTTCCGTCTTCTCGTGCAATGTGACCGGGTACTGTGCAAAATCATCACGGGATTCCAGGCAGCAGCAAACTAGTCACCGCTGCACTGTCTGTGGAGGGTCAGGCTCAAGAGCTGCATGAGCTGCTTTCTCCCATTACCGATCTGGCTCCTGTGGTTGACTCAGCTACCATAAATAAACCAGCATTTGGCGCCGCAAGGTAATTGTAGCTCTGCAGGATGTGCTTTGGAAGCCAGATGCCTCCCTGCTGAATAACTCTGCCTGCAGTTCTGATGGCAGCAGAACCTGCCCTTGTGCAGAGAACAAGTAGAAGGGGACAACTTCTTTTGCACATCTTTATTCTGTACAGGGGGCTTCAGGCTCGCAGAATGATCGTGGGCTGTTCAGAGAGGGTTGCTGCCAATTTGGGCAGCATCACACTTGACCGGTGAATGCTCACTGTTTTCCTCAAAATGAACTTTCCCAAGTTAAGCAAAGCCTGAGTCATCGTGTATGGCTAGAAGTGTCTATTTTGGAGCAGCCTACAAAAGTGAATAATTTTCTACATAACTTTGTTACCACAGTAAAGTTTGTTGTCTAAAGCAGTATATTCAGCTGATGGTTTTGCAGGTGTCACACTATTAATTTTGAGTTTGTTCTCTGTTCCAGGTGATTATGCTGGTTTCCCTGGATGTGGCTTACTCAGGCTGCACAGCACCTACCGTCATGATCTCAAGATCTACGCCTCGGATGAGGGGCGAGTTCAGATGACAGCAGCAGCTTTTGCAAAGGTCCTTTCTCTCTTTGGGCACCTGTTAGGTCTGCTGCGTTAGTCTTGAAATACGGGAGTTCTAAAGGAAAACCTCTGGGGATGAGGAAGGAGCTGTCCTAGGAGCGTCCCCCTCTCTTTTGGGAGGGTGGTGGACACTGTGCTGACAGCGAGTGTGCGGTGCTGGAGATCCAGTGTAGCTGCACAGGTGTGTCACCTTTAGTCACAGGGGCAGGACTCTGACTGGAGAAGGAGTTATTTATGGAGAGTTGCTGGTGTTTCGTTTTAGAGCACATCAGACCTGTTGCTGAGTATTAATTGCCTACAAAATGAGTGTTCTTTGAGTGACTGCCCAGCCAGAGGGGTTATTCCTTGTCTGCAGGATTTAGAAGGGAATGAAATGTCTTTGAAGCAGTGTGGGGTGGGGCCTGGGGAGAAGACACGTTCACCTGCAGTTAAGGCTTGAGCCAAGGGGAATCCTGTGGTGGCTTTAGCTGTTCTGCAGAGCCTCTGCTGTACCAACACTTTCCAGCAAACTGAGCTGGCTGCTCAACAGCTGCCTGAATAAGTCTGAGTCTACTGCAGGCAGAGCTGGCCTTTTGCCTCACATAGCTCCAGAATCATGCCAGAGTCCCTGGTGGCTGTAGGTGCTGTTGCTGTAAAACTGCTCTTCAAGGACAGTTGAGATTTGACTCCAGCTGATGGAAGGCTGGCCATGAAGCTCAGAAAAAGGTTTGTTGCTTGGGCTGCACATAGCTGAAATCTTGTCCTGTGTTTCTCTAGGGTCTGCTGGCCCTGGAAGGAGAGCTGACCCCCATCCTGGTGCAGATGGTGAAAAGTGCCAATATGAACGGTCTCCTGGACAGTGACAGTGATTCCCTTAGCAGCTGTCAACACAGAGTGAAGGCACGACTGCATGAAATCATGCAGAAGGATGCTGAGTTCTGCGAAGAGGATTATGAAAAGGTAAAACACCTGTGCAGCTTTATTGTTTCATGTGTCTGGAAGGAGAGTAGCATTGCTGCAGTGATTTGACATGAAGCCTGCTGGTATGTGAACAGTAGTTTGGTTAGTCTGAGATCAGTTCTGGCCAAAATTATAGGATGTAAATGGAATTTAGGAAGGGAAAGGGCTTCTGCAAGTGAAAGAAGTGAAATTCTTCTCCAAGTGAAAGTCCTCAGAGTTGCTCCCATGTCCCCTTCAAGTATCACCATGTTACCTTCCTATCCCTTTAGAAGTGCCAGCACATTTTATTCTGATGACTGTGCTAAAAGAAGAATTCTTGAGGTTTGCTGCATCCTGCCCAGAACAATCCTAGTTGCTGTGGACGTGGAGAATCTGCCTTGCCAGATTCTAAATTTGTGCTCTGTACGTGTGTGAACGGATCTTTTAGACACAAACCCTTTTCTGGTCCTGCTAGTGTCTGTCTGATAACTGCGGAGTGGAGCGCATGGACTACATCCAGCACAGCACCCCAAAAAAAGAACTATGGCTGCTTCTTCAACAAGTTCCCAAACCATTTTTCCTAGACTTTGGGGTCTGATTACTGGACCGAAATCGATTACCCTTAAGGAATGCACTTATCACCTCAAAGAACTATGTAAAACTTCTGTGAAGCTCTTCTGCTTAAGCACAGAAGGAAAGTGAGGCAGGAATGGGTATTGCATGTGGCGAGAGGTCTGATCTGGTAGGAGCAGTTGTTTGGTCCTGATAAAGTTTTTAAAGCGTGCCTGACTACCCCTAGGGATAGGCCAGCTTATTACTCTCAGCTTGGAGCACAGCTTTTGTACCTCAATGGAAAGCAGTCTGCTGCCAAAGGCAGACGATTTGTGCTCCCAGTTTGTAAAGACACTAACTAATCTCTACTGATGTCTCCTCTCAGCTAGCACCTACAGGCAGTGCTTCTCTGCTCAACTCCATGACGTTTATCCAGAACCCAGTAGAGGTCTGTAACCAGGTGTTCACCCTAATTGAGAGTCTCACCTCCCAGATACAAAAACGGCTGGAAGACCCAAAATCTGCAGGTGAGCATCAGAACTGGAAAGGGTTTGGAGTAGGTTAATTTATTGTTACATCTTCAGAGCTCTCAAACACCACTATGGTTTATGTTTGTCTGTAGCAGAGAAATTCTGAAGTGAAATTCTGTGTTTGCTATTGGTGTAGAAGGCTTCTGTTCCACTTTCAACTACTGTTAGAGAGAGCTGATCCGTGTGTCTCGGGTGTACGGGGAGTGCAGACAGCAGCAGTAGCCTGGGGAGCCTTGTTTTTCTCAAGCATTTCCTGGAGGGGGGCTCAAGACAGTAAACAGCAAGTTTTTTGGTCACAATTTGCTCGTCTCTAAGAGATTTCCTAGTAAGAGTGAAGAAGTTTTGAAAAATCATCTGTGGGACATTTCACACGATTTATGGCAGACGTAAGCCAACAGGCAAGCAGTTTCATGTTTCTCAGGTATTTCAAAAGTAACTTACTGGTTACAGGTTAAAACTCCATGCAACAGGTCTGGTGACCTTTCCAGTCTAGGATTCTTGTGGGTCATGTAGTAATGAGAGCCCTTCTGTGCTGGGAGAAGTCACTCGCAGCCGTCACTTGAAACCTGCGCAGGAGCAGTCAGGGTGTGAACGAGAGTTGATGTTCTCTGCTGTTTAGACCTGCAGCTGTACCACAGTGAGACCTTAGAACTGATGCTGCAACGCTGGAGCAAGCTGGAGCGAGATTTCCGCATGAAGAATGGGCGCTACGACATCAGCAAGATCCCCGATATCTATGACTGCATCAAATATGATGTACAACACAACTGTGCACTGAAACTGGAAGGCACAGCTGAACTCTTCAAACTCTCCAAAGCCCTGGCAGATGTGATCATACCCCAGGTACAGCCTGTCCTGCCTGTGTGATGATGTCTGTAGTGTCAGTTCCTGACCCTTTCCCTGTCTGTTTTTTCTTGATTCTCTTGCATATTAACTCTCAAGGCAGTATATCATGGGCATTTCTCAGATGTACCTCTTAGTGCCTGTATAAGGCCAAAAGCATTTATGACTTAAGAGTGGCAGGGCTGCCTTCCCGAATGAGGATTCTGACAACATCAACATAATAAACAGCTGAGGCAGCAGTTTTTCCGTGTTTGTTGTGGTGCATCGTAGCACAGCTTCCAGCTGTGTGGAGGCTACGGTGACATCCCGTTCTCCAGAATCTCTCTCTGGGGAAGAGAGATTTCTGTGTTAAAGTGAAGGCTTGTTCTGACAAATTTATTTTTCTTGTTTGCAAAGTTTGCTTGCTTCTCATGAAGTTCATGCCTATAAACAGGAGGGGAGAGAAGGGCTGCATGCAATGGATCTCTGTATTCACTGTTGTTCTGTCCCACTTCTGGCAGAAGTGTTTCGTTTATGTGTGGTCCAATTGCACTTGTGCCCGTGTGGAGCAGAAGTGGTCCTGATGAGATGCAGTTTGACTGTTTCCAGGATAGCACTTCAAGTTTTATCTTTGCAAATAGCAGTTGTTGTGTTAATGTTCACACCAGGTCAGAGTGTAAGTGTGTGTGTCACAAGAGGATGGTGCTTGCGGCTCTCAGCTGCTGGAAGAATGCTGACAGCCGTGTCCAGGCAGACTGGGATTCTTGGAGGAGTCTCTGTCCTCTGTAACCCCCTGCAATATTTGAGGGGGAAAAAAAAGGCGAGAAAGGTGCCGAGTGAAATTTCCCTTTCTGTCCTTGCTTAACTGTAGGGGTGCTTGAGTCCAGGACTGCTGAAGTCCAGACTCCTTTCATGTGAGGATGTGGCAAAGAACCAGGACTCAAGAGTACCTGTTGTTTTGTTCCTACAGGAATATGGGATTAATAAAGAGGAGAAACTGGAGATTGCTATTGGCTTTTGTCTTCCTCTCATTAAAAAGATCCAGTTGGACCTACAGAGAACCCACGAAGATGAGTCTGTCAACAAACTACATCCCTTGTAAGGATTGTGCTGCATGCAGCTGCTGGTGGGGAGGGCAGCTGGAGCAGGGAGTGGGAACCACGCCAGAACAGCGTGCTGGTATGGATGGAGGCATGTGCACCGAGGGATGCACCAAGTGGGAGGCATGTTGTTGCTCCTGGCACTAGAAGGGAAATGCAAAAGCGCACTGAGACTGCTGAGCAGGAGCAAGGTGCCACAGAAGCTTAAAGCCGTTGTAGTTGGATGGTGGTGCTTTCGTCCTTGTCTCTGCAGGGGGCAAGTGCTAGAGTGGGCCATCTCTGCCCCACCGTGTGTCTGCACCAGGATACCACAACACTTGCTGTGCCCAGTGCTCTCACCATTGTTCTGTCCCTGCTGCTCTTTGACAGTTCCCAGTGTGCTGTTACCTTAATTCCTGTTAAGTGTGCAGAAATGCTGCTGTGTGATAGATGGCCCTTCACTGGCAGACCATGAGTAACACTGGGCTGGTTTTGGTTTAGGTACTCAAGAGGAGTTCTGTCACCAGGTCGCCACGTTCGGACACGGCTCTACTTCACCAGCGAGAGCCACGTGCACTCTCTGCTCAGTATCTTCCGCTATGGGGGGCTCCTGGATGTAAGTGTCCCAGCAATGCTTACAGAGTAGGCCTCCCTGCTTTTTTTCAGTGGCGCTTTCCAGGGTGGACAGTGTATGTTTGTAGGTTGCCTCCTAGCCAGCTCCTCCAGTAACGATGTGCATCAGTGGCCTCTGGCCAGCTCCGTCTGTGCCGTGCTGATGTGCTGCAGCTTCCTGCCTTTCTGGCATGTGGGAGGATTATTCTTCTTCAGTCCTGACACTGTGCCTGCCTTGCTTGCACAGAAGCATGTTTTCTCCTAGAGCTGCCCTCTTAGTTTCAGATGAGTAGGCTGCTTGTCTGTGCAGGAGGGTAGCAGTGTGAGGCAACGGGGATGAGGGAACTTGACTTGAAATGCAGAGGGGGTGCTCTCTACCAGTGGGGCAGTTTACATGTTTTTAGGGGACTAACTCATCCAGTCCAACCTTCACTCACTCTTGTAACCTGCTTCCTGAAGGAACTGGCATGCAGACCCTGAGAAGAGGTCTGCTTTAGCCTCCTTGGGAGGCTCTCTGAGTTACCTTCCCATTTTTAAGCATGGCATTCTGAAATGCCTTGCGAGTTTGGGCTTGCTTAGCAGGCGTGATTTCTGATGTCTCTGGAAGCTCAGTGTATCCAGAGGCAGTGATCATACAAGTACCTCTGAATTGCTCCCTGGACAAGTTGCTGCTTTTTTCCCCGACTTGAGTGTCAGAGGATGCTGTGTTGCCAGCACAGGGATATTCGGCTACATGTGGGCTTGTCTGTACGGGTGTGGTTCACTTCGTCCCCCTCAAGGTGGTGAGGTGCTCCACAGCAGCACGAGTGGCACTTTGGGCACGGCTGCTGCCAGCAGTGCTGGAGAACTGCAACTGCCCTGCCTTGGGAGCCTGAGGGGCCAGCATGGCTCCATAGACTTTTCATTCCGCATTGTGTTAAAGAAGCTTCACGTGGTCCCTGGTTCAGCACGAGTTCATCCCTTGCTCTAGAATACTCGGTTGCGTAGGCCACTGTTTGAGGATGCGGGTGACTGCGGGTCGGCATGGCCTGGGGGCTTGCAGCTGGCTGTGTGCGATCCGCGGGTGGGTTGTGTGGGGAGCTGCAGTGTCCCTCTGTGCAGTTGCTCCTTACCATCATTGCGAGGCCGTGTCTCTTCACGCAAGTTAAGCGAGGGGTTTTTTTGTCCTGACAATGTTGTTATCTTGTGGAGAGACAAACTCTCTCAGACCCATCTCACTGAATGCTGCAAAGTGTCTGCTGTTGCTTATTCCATGCGACTGTTTGTGTGTATGTATCAGGAAAACAAAGACCAGCAGTGGAAGAGAGCCATGGACTATTTGAGTGCTATCTCAGAGCTGAACTACATGACCCAGATTGTTATCATGCTCTACGAGGACAACAACAAGGTGAGGGATAGAGCTGTAGGAAAAAATCCTTCCTGCCGTGATGCAAGGCACAGCCCCGGAGAGATGAGTTCAGCTCGGAAGTTTGTAACCTGAGCTCTCTCCGCTTGTGGGTGAAGATGGATGCATCATTAACACAACTGCTAGTTTTTATTTTTAGGTGGGAGGCAGCAACTCAGTTAACACTTGTTACGTGTGAGCAGAATGCCACCCTGAGCAGTGATACCGAGCTTAAGTAATCAATACTACATACTCTAAAGCATTTGCTAGCACAAAACAGTTTGTTGTTTCTTAATATTAATTACAAATGAACAGTGGGAAATGATAAATAAAACCAAGCAAAATCTGTCAGTTTTCCCCAAATGTTTCTAGAAAAGATCCAGAAATTCCACATTCATAAACTTCTTTTATTTTAAAAATGTACCAATATAGTTAGGAAAGTCTATACCGATACCTTCAGGAAGGAAAGAGAATCATTCAAAAAGACCAGCCAGAACGTGGAAGCCAGTGGTGATGACTGTAAGTGGGTTTGTCACCAAATTGCAGGTACTGAATCCCAGCACTCGGGTCCTGTGCTGCAGGAGTTGTGGTGAGTGAGGGCAGCAGTCCCTTTCCTCTGTATGAGGAAAGAGTTAGAATCTTGTATTCACAGAGCTCATGTGCGTTTTTAATGGTAGAAGTGAAATATTTCCCAGTGCTGTTTGTCAAAAAAGCCCCAAAAGTCTGAAGAGAGCTCTTAGGAGTGGTGTAAATCTGTCAGTAAGTAGAGGTGGTAAAACTTTTGGTTTTCCATCGTTAGTGCCAGATACTGCAAAAGCTCTGGCTTCCTTAAAAAAATAGATAAAAAATTAATATTCGAGACAGTTACTTAAATATTGGAACAGTCTGACTAAAGGTCCAGGAGGAAACCAGTCTGTCCCTGCCCCAGGGTGTGCTTGTTTTGCAACAGGAGTGGATCCGAAGGGGCTGTGTTTTAGGTTTATATATATATATTTATATATATACACACACAGAGCCTGATTCTCTTTCGGTCCTCTGGTGGCTGTTGTCACAAAATAACAACAATTTGAATGCCTCAGCTTTGTGCTAATAAGGTTGTCCTTTTGGATGAGACAAACCTGGAGCTGTTATGTTCATGGTTTCTTGTTGCTTCTGCTTTCCTTCCAAAAGGACGAGCTTGAGACGCGTGCTGCACTGGCATGGCAGGGTGCCCCGGCTCCCCACCATGGCCTCCGCTGACAGCGGGACCAGTTTTTATTCCTTTACTTATTCCCCACCCCCTCCTGTCTACAGGACCC